ATATATATATATATATATATATATATATATATATATACAAACACACACACACACACACAACAGATATACAATAATTAATAATAAAGTAAAATTGGCTGCTGCCAGCTGGTAGTTCAGAATTAAGGATAGCATCAAGCAAAATGAACTACACACTAATGAATGTTGTGACAGGATTCTACAACTGCAGGGGGAAGTGTGTGTTTTTTTTAGCTGTTGCTAAAAACTAGTCTATAAAAAAATGTCTTTGAACAACTTATCTTAAGGTACTGACTTTCTAAACCATGTACTGAAGGACATGAAAAGTGAACTTGGATCTGAGATACATTGCACTAGTGGCCACAGAGAAGTGACTGTAATGTTTTTAAAACTAATAAATATTGTTAAACAAAGATGAAAGGTTTTTTATGCAATCAATAAAAGCAACATCCATACAAAATTTGCTCCACTGGCAGACTAGATCAAATGTGCCCCAAATCAACAAGTATGGTTCCAACCTCTCCATTGAAAAAGAATAATTTATGATATGAAATTACAAAATGCTGAAGTACTCCAATGGTACCTAAAAGTATGAAACAAAAAACAGGGTTATTCAAAGAAAAAAGAATAACACAACCTGAAGGGAATGGGAAAGCTGTAACAAGCTTGAAGTATTGCTTAAGTTCAAATTAACAAATAAATGACCTGGGCACAATCGAATACCACATGCTAAACTCCGAGTGAGTGGAAAGAACAACTAACCAGCTCATTACAGATGTGTCCATATAAATGGCAAAGATTTAATACAAATAAACAAACGGAAATTTTATAGAATAACAGACACACAGAAAACATGGAATATATTTTCTGGAAGGAGAAACCATGAAGACAGGCTATCTCTGTAGATTCTTCATTAATGGGATAACAATGGGAATTGTCTGGAAAAGATAATTAAATTCAAAAAAGAGGAGAGAGGAATCAGAACTGGAGAAGAGACTGAAAGAATGAACTTTGAGTGCATAATGTCTGGGACTACATATGAATGAAAAGCTGAAGTAAACTCACTAATATTTTAATTTTATTGGGAGAAAACACAATCATTGTTGTTAGCTCAAATAATTATATTGTAAATGTCTTTCAATTAATTCATTAGTTTTTTTTGTAAAATATTATTTATTAATATAAGGTAAACATGAAGATACTTTTTCATGAACTCATTATGCTATCAAGGTCAACTAACAAAGTGTTTTCAATTTCCCTTTTCAGGGTAAAGTATTTAATAGTACCACACCATCATTTTACAAGTATATGGCATGTTCATTTTAAATGTTAAAATGTCATTCTGTACCATAAATGTACTGCCATAATTTAATTAGGCATAACCAAATTTATCATACTGAAGAACTTATAATTTTTATACTTACGATTTTATATTGAAGACATTTCATATATGCACATGCTTAGCTGTGCATTTGAGATATATTGATAAATTATAAGTTCTGAATTAATTTGTAGAAAAATAGTATAAATTATATTTTTATTTAAATTTTTAAGATTGATATACAGGTGTGCATTCAACACCTGAAAGTTGCTCACAAGTTATAACAAGGCCAGATAAACTTTCCCTTGTAACTTCTCTAGTAAGAAGGCTCTGTCTAAAAAAAAGTTTCTAGCTAGAAAGCAAAATCTAATAGCAATTCTCCCTTGCAAGAGTCTTCTGTTTAGAAAAAACATTCTAGGAAAAGTGCTCACTGAGAAAACTTTTGAGTTAAAATTCTTATTCTATAGAAGACTAAGTGTGGTCTGTCTGACAGAAATTTCTCTAGCAAAGTTTAGAGATGCTAAACAGTTGAATATATCAGTTGAATGAAGTCAGGTAATGAACAATGGATTAGTTATTTTGCATAGAATGAACATGAGCATGTTTTAATTAAGACATTCAAATAAATATATCACATTTTGAAAAAGTTCGATCTAAAAAATTGAATCAATAGAATACTTGTCCATTATAAAATAAGTGGGCTTCCATTCATTTTGCATACACTGTTATTACCTTTATAAAGATGTAGATGTTAAAAATATATTTTTGCACTTCTCTCTAATACTCTGGACATTTTAGTTAAATGTTTGATTTTGTTTAGATTAGGGAACTAACTACTAATTTTCTGAGTCTCAAAAACAAACAGTCCTAAAATGATATTGTTGAAAGTTCCTCAATTAATACACATTCAAGTTGTGCACTAAAATTAACTGTAAGCTAAACATATGCGAATAGACACTGAAACAGAACATCAGCAAACCTAAGAAACTATACCTATCTGAAGCCAATAGTCATTAATCCTAATTATTCTTCAACTAAAAATATATAATTTATCAGAAAGAAAACTAATTTTGGTTTTACATCTATATTCTACTAACCTGTACAAGATGGATCTGAACCACTCCATTTTCTGTCTTCTTGGCAACTTCTTTCTTCTGGTCCATTTAATGAAAAACCCTCACTGCAAGTATACTGTGCGTTTGCCCTGTACGTCCGTTCCTTATATATAACAGCCCCATTTTCTGGATTTTCTAGGGGAGGACACTTGATTGCTAAGAAAAATACAAAAAATAAATTTGTTTAATTTCTGGCACTTCAAAAATATTTTACTCTATTTAAGTCTGTCTGAACTTGAGGAATGATATTGATATCCTTTGATTTTTGTTTTCAATTCTCATGACCAAGTTTAAAATAGCTTCACTAGCCATGTGGTTTGTTTGTAGAGCATACAATTTTTCAAGTTCACTATTTTATATCCATACTGAGCATCAGGACTTGAAGTTAATATAACTTACTGCAAAGTGTACAATTGTAAAATTATATATTTTCAAAGAACCAGATATGGTGGTGTAAATGGTGGTATTAAGATGTAACTTTCTAAATAACTACTATAAACCAGGTTTATCATGTGGTAATTTTTTTATTTTGCTCCATAATTCCTTCATATTTGAATAATGATCCAAAGATGTGATTATTTACAGTTCATTTGTTTTCATATTCTGGCACTCTGTTTTACAGTTCAGTTAATTTCGATTTTACTGACAGTAAGAGCTTAACATTAGTGTGGTTACATTTGTGGAAAGATCCTGTTTCATCTCATGTGATCTGCGAAATGAAGTAACATTAAACTTATTTATAAATTTCCAAATTTAATTCTTTATTGTATCCCACTATGTGTAAATGGTGTTGGTGCAGAAATTTTGAAAAGATGTTCAATTCAGTGTCGAGCTTAATCTTTTTTTTTTCTCAACAAAATGTACCTTACAATTTCTTTGGCCTTATACATTTACTAAATAAATCATTATGTTCATCTGACCTTTCAATAATATTACCCAAATACTAATATTTGGTGTATACTTCAACAATATAATCACCAGGATGCTCAGTAACTCCCACTAGTAAGAGCAGTTGCTTGAGCACTGATTTCTTTTAAGGTTCCTAAATGGTTAACATCAGCTGATATGCAACTAATCAGGACTTCTTGGGTGCTTGTTGAAAAGAAACAATCATAAAAGCCATGGCTTGATTCTTCATGTAACATTATATGTATAACTAGGTATCATTTAGTCCTTCAAGATTGTCCCTGCACACCTACCCTTCACAAACAGTAAAATTTGAACCCACACTTCATAGTTTTTCAAGAAATGATTAATTCCTCTTTTAAACACCGTATAAAGTGTTGTCCTTCACTATAGTGATGGCAATTCATTCAATAAGGCAATTAACTTGTTAGAAAAATAAAACTATACTAAATAAAGCATAGATTGTCTTTTCCAAATTTTAAACTTGTGTGATCTTGTCCTATTGTCTTCAGAATATAGTAGAAAGAAATCAGAGACCTATATCCTATTGATCCTCCAGACAGTCTTATAAACTTCAGTAAGATTATCACTAACCTTATCTTTGCAGATGAAAAAAACAACAAAAAACGAGATGAGAGTTCTTAACCTATCACTATAAGATAACTCTTCTATCCCTGAGATCATCCTAAGTAGCCTTTCTTAAACTCTTTTCCAATAATTCAATATCCTTTCTTAGATCAGAACATCAGTATTCAAAGTATGTCCTAATTGGCAACTTGTATAGAAATAATTACCTCTTTTCTGTTATAATTTATGTCTACAAATAAATGATGCAAGTGACTTAATTCACCAGTATGCCATGATCCTTTTCGTCAGTCATGCCATTGGGTGTGTTCCCATCTGTATTACACGTCATCCAAATAATCATAACCTAAGTAAGCTTTATTGTACTAAATATAATCAAGTCATTTGACAAATACTTGACAAACTAGAAAAATTATCCAAGTCATTCTGTAATACTTCAACATCCTCAATACAGCTAGAAAAACCCATTAGTTTAATATCATAAAAACTTTACTAATTATGGTCCTATCATTATTATTCAAGTAAATACGAAAGAGCAAAGGCTCAAGCACCGACTCCTGACAAATTCCCATTGTAACAAAGGCCTAGCTTAACCCTATCTTAACGTGTCACGTGTCAAAGGCCATGTCATCACGTTTGTCGACTTGCATTCAAAATTTTATTGAACTACTATTTTACGAATCTATGTTAACAAGTTTGGTGTCAAATTGTAGATTAAAATTCAAATTTTAGTATTATACATTAGTTAATTTATTAATTTAAAAATAAATATTAAAAAACACAGACAAACATCAATTTTTGTATGTCATGTGGTATATTGAATGCATCACTGGTTCAAATTAGATGTTTGTCATGTCAAAACACAAAATATACAGCTTCGTACGAATTAGGAACTGAAACTACCGATATTGATAAGCTAGAATATAAAATAAGAACATCTTATATTTTCTATTTCCTAAGATATCGCTCCTCTACTGAACCACAGTGGCCCCTCCACCCACCTATTTCCACGTTTGGAAACGGCCCCTTATATACACTTACTTTTATGTATATGACACGAATAACCAATCAAAAACTCAGAATGTCCCCCTAGTGGTTTTCTCAGCCATTTTGATGTGTTATTGTGCTAATTTCATTCTTTTCACACAAGATTTCATACGATGAGGTAAGTCTTTAGTGAGCTCGAAATTTCATATTTTTTTAGAACCATATACAGCTTAGTTACTACACTTGATTCTTTGTTTTTGAAATTTGCACAAAGCTACACGAGGGCTATCTGCTCTAGCCATCCCTAATATAGCAGTGTAAGACTAGAGAGAAGGCAGCTAGTCATCACCACCCACCGCCAACTCTTGGGCTACTCTTTTACCAACGAATAGTGTGATTGACCATCACATTATAATGCCCCCACGGCTGAAAGGGCGAGCATGTTTGGTGTGACGGGGATTCGAACCCGTGACCCTCGGATTACGAGTCGAGCACCCTGACCACCTGGCCAACTACACTTGATAAATTATAGTGGAATTCTATGGTATCGATATAGTAATTTATGATTTTTTTTGTTTAGTTAAATTAAATATGTATAACTAAAAAACCTAAAAGTGTCTTACTTACACTCCCACCGTACGGGTAGGGTTATTCTAAGTAAGGTCT